ATGTTGATATTCAACAGAAGTCTGGTGCTTGAAACCAAGTTCTTCTATGGCATCCAGCATTTCTGGAGCGTTGTCGGTATACACTATGCCAACAATATCAGAAGTCTTCAGAAAATGTTTAAAAGCTTTCACAATGGAATCGGCTGTTTTGTTTTCTGAAGGATAAACACATCTGTATTGAGTATAAACATCTTTGATCACCAACATTGACGTTTGGCCTTCTATCCCTTCTTCAATATCCTTGGGAATAACATGGTCGCACACTATGTGGTCGCCAAACCCACGCGCCAAAACATGTTGTGATCCGCCTACGCTTCTACCGTAGGGAGCAAGCATTTTAGCTTCGCTACAAACATCGCAGTAGGGATTCTTTGGTCGATGTGTGAATTGATGCGCCCCTGATTTTGCTTCCTTTCGAAGTTGCTCTTCGGTCTTCTCCCCTGCTACGGGAACGTCTTCAAAATCAAAAGGAACCTCAACTTCTGGGTCACTGTCCTCTTCGTCCTCCTGTCCATCATCGGCATTGGCATCTACGCCAGCTTCGTCAGCCTCCTCTTGGTCTTCCTCGGGTTCGGACTCACGGCTGGCCATGGCGTAGCCCTGGTCGATGGTGAACTGGTGGATGGAATCGAGTACCTTAGTAAGGCGAGTCCTCAGTGATTCAGGAATTGAGAATGGGGTACATGTTTCATCAATATATGGAACCCTACCTTGCAATTTGAATTTAACGCATTGTCCATCAGGTCGAAGAAATATGGGAGTAGTGTCCTTTCCCCAAACAAAATCATATCCCTGTTCTAAGCACCTCAAACCAATTGAAAGTGCAGAGGGAGTACTTTGGAGAATGTAGGGGTTGAAGGATTCACATAACCCTGGCAAGATCACCTCTACTACTTCGTCAGCAGTGATAGGTCCATTGGCAGTAGTAAGGGAGATTGGTTCGTTGGATTTGAATATCTTGGTGGCCCTGTTGACTGTCTTAGAGTCCTTACCTACGATGTCCTGGTCAGTGCCAGTGTCACCCAGCCACTTCTCCATACCAACCATGTTTGGCATCGCTGTTAAGCGAGCACATGACGGCACCTGTTCTCCGACGACTGTTCTGCACTTCGTGCAGCACAAATCATCGGGGCCTTCTGGGGAATGTTCACAAAGGAAATCACACGCAGGCTCCTCGGTATCCATCGAAACGAGCATCTGCCTAAGTGACTCCGCTGCCAAAATGGCGTCCTTAGTGTCACACTCGCGGGACTTTGGGCATTCCTCAGTGGTCCGGAACAGGTTCCGCTTCTTGCTCTTATTCACTACATGCCGGTACATTTCCTTCCAAACAGGAAAGGTGTGTACCTCCGGTTCTAATTCAAAACGAATTCTCTTCTCTTGCACAACACGGAAAATTGACTTTCCAGTCCAATCAAATTTCTGTTTCGCGTTTGGGTGTTTCTTCCAATTACCCTTGATTGTCCTACTCTTTCCCTTTGAGTCAGTGACTACCATGGTAAACTGGTCTTCCAACCTAGATGACTCAACTGGACAGGATTTACGTGTTGGGAGAAACGACCTGCGCCTAGGCTTCAAATGGTGCCTAATCAACTCATTGCCATCTTTGGAGAATTCCCAGTAGTCTTTACTCTTTTGGGTCCGAGTTGCGGTTGCTGCTAAGCAAGACATTGCGAAACCTGTTTGAATACATGGACTGGCCTTTGGACTTTTGTCCTTCTTTTCCCGTTTGCTCTTTTTGTCCTTTTTGTCCTTCTTGGATTTCTTGTCCTTAGACCTTTTAGCTGCGGGCGAGGGACTCCTTCTGCGCGGGGCTGGTGTTGCAGTGTCTCCGTGTTTAAACGGGCATTTGTCACCCCTTTTGCAGTTACCCTTTGCAAAGAACCTGCATGGCTTGTCAGATTTCCTCCCTCTACTGGAGCTTCTTGATGAGTTCCTTGAACTGGAGCGGGAAGTGTGTCTTGACGAACTTCGAGATCGGCTTGACCTGAACGATGAACGGCTGCTCGGACTTGCGCTACGCGAACGAGACGACTCCCGACTAAGGGAGCGGGGACGGGCGCTAGAGTCGTGTGAGTACTTGCATTTGCTCCCGTACTTACACTTACCAGTTTTGGCATACTCATAGCATTGATTGCTTCCGTCACCCTTTGTGCTTCGTTTGCCATAACTTGGGCTTCGCGTGCGCTTGTCGTGCGGTGCCGGGTTTGCGAACTTTGCCGCGTGTGATTGTGATATCTTTTCGCGATTGGTCCTGAGCCTTTCCCTGTCAAGGTAACGTCGAACAGAATTGATAAGAAATTCATAGCTTCCGTCGTTACTTCCCTCCGGCGCTCGTTCATAAACATCAAGGTCAAATCTGAGCTTGCGGGACTTCCTAACCTCTCTATAAAACAAATCCTTGAGAGTTGCCGGGTCTGGGACATGACTCATTCCGGTCAGAACACTCTCCCATTTCCTTAGAAAGGATTTCAAGTCGTCGCTATCAAGCGAGATCTTGAGGAGGTCCTCAGTGCCATACAGTGCACCCGCTTCTTCACTGGTCTTGAAGTGGACTTCAAACATGAGCAACACCTGACGACCACGGACGATCCTACCTTGCTGTGCCTCAGATTCCTTATAATTAAGGATCTGCTGAGACAGTTCACCTTTGGCAACCTTAGTTAAAGCAGCAAGTAGTTTCGTGTCTAAGGTCCGAAACTTGCCTGGGTCAGCCAATTCGGAACAAAGCTTGGCTTTGTCTTCACGAACAGCGTACACCTCAAGCACCCATGCGAACGCAGCGTCTGGGTCATCGGACGCGGACCGTATCGCTTCGCGAACAGCGGCCCTCCAAGTGCGGTACCTATCAGGACTTGGGAATTCGGGAAGATCTATCTTATCAGCCTCCTTTGCCTTGGGTTTGTCAGAGTCTTTGCTCTTAGCGCCCTTAAACCCTTCTAGCAAGGCCTTCTTGATGATTTCCCCCAAATCTTGGTCTTGTGGAGTTCTTACCTGAGAAGCCGGCCCTTCGTCCTTGCGATCATCCTTAGTCTTTGTTGCTTCCTGATTAAAGGAGCTTTTGTACAAAGGATCATCACTGAAGTTATATTGTGCTGACTTCTTCATGTACTCCGTCCACGGATCCGGTTGTTTGAATTGTTGCCTGTCCGTAGAGGCCGTTGCCTGTTCCGTTGCGGGCGCCCCTGTCCCTGAGAACATTGATGGGAATCCAGTGTTGCGCGTGGACGCTGTTGCATCCATAGCCGTCTTTATAGGGGATCCGCCTTCCTCACGAGGCTTACCGTCTAAGGTTGCTGGAACAGTGCCTTCCGTGCGTAGAGGTTCAAAAGATCGCGGTTGACCAATTGGGTGAGCGTCTTGTCGAGCAGAAGGTGTAAGTGGCTCAGGATATTGCGGCCCTGGCTTAACGGGGCTAGAGGATTGCGCCTTGCGCTCCGCTTCCTTGCGTTCCTCTTCCCTGTCTGTCAAGGACTGTACAACACGTCTGAGCTCGTCCATTTCACCCTTCAACATTGCATTGTCCTTGCGAAGCTCAACTATAGTTTGCTCTTGCGTTTCCCGATCAACCTTATATTGCTTATTTGTTGTCTCCATCTCATTGACAAGAGTTTTGATCTTTGCCTGTGCAATTGCTAACGAACTGTCCAGTTGTTCTCGCTTGAAGTCAAGCTCTATGGCGATCCGGGATTCTTCAGCAGACGAATGTCTTGCCTGATCCTTTGCCTCTAGAGCTGCCTTCAGCTTAGCCTCCTGTTGCTCAACATACTGGTGATGTTCAGTTCTCATTTTGTCAACAAAAGCATTGCCTTCTTCCGCCATGGCATTCTTTTCCTGTACAACTTTCTCATGAGCTGCTGTCGCCTGAGCTAGCCGCTGCTGAAAATGTTCCCTTTGCTCCTCCAATGTACCTTGCAACCGTTTGATTGCAACATTGTCTTGCTGTTGGACCATTTGCTGAACACTTTGTTCCTGCTGTTGGGCCCTTTGTTGAACATTCAACATTGCCTGCTCTGCGGCAGCCTTTGTTGCCGCTATAGATTCGGAAGCTTCTCTTTCGTAAATACTCCTGAAGCGCAATGCCTCGATTTCAGCTTCCCTCCTGGCTTGTTCGCTGAGCAAAAACTCATGTTGTTGTAACTCCCGTCGTAGTTCTTCGTCGTTTGGCGTTGCATTCAGGTTGACGACGTTGAGCCGAGTCATTGCCAACAAGTTGTTTACTGTTGGCGCACCAGCTACGGTGGCTGACGGCATACCTGCTAGGGTAGCTTGTGTCGCCTCTTGAAGAGTAACACTACCACCACTATTTAGCATCTCTTGGTACACCTCCGAAGCAACCCTTGGATCCATTGCAGCCACTTGTGCAACCGCTTGTTCATGCCGTTGAACTGCATCCAAACTATTGGGCACACTCGGAACTATGTCAAAGCCACTTCCGTAGGAGTTTGGTGGGACGTCGTCATCCATCGGGTCCATAGCTCTAATCTAGCTAGCCTACGGCTGATAACCTGTATTTTACAGGATCAGCTCTAATAGTACTAACTACCTAGCTAACCCTGCTAGCCCGGTAAGCGCTACCTTTTGCTCTACCTTGAGAGTCAACGCTACGGGGTCCATGGGGATGAGGTGAATTTCAACAGATACGACCAGTGTGTCATGCTACCAACAGGATACCCCAGAACGATCGGATGCAACGCCCATTGTTCTATTCATGTTGAGGGGTTTAAACTTGCCTTCACTTGACCTACAGTGAGTCCTTGACCCACAGTCATTGCACCCTGCGAGCGGAAAGCAAGGCATGCACCGAATGGAAGCGTGTGTGAGAACGTCAAAGATGTCCAAAAACTGCTCTGCTTGACGGCAATTGTTTCCACCAACTTACTTAAATGATTATAGACATTGGATGGCCCAACTCCAAGACCAAATGAGAAGCTCAAAGCAACGGGGACGAGCTCTGCCCATCCTCATCCAACAAGGCCCACTAAAGGCATCCAAATCGCTGTCCATGCCATCGGAGCATGGCGTTTGCAGCAGATTCATGCCCCATGGCACTCTTCTTTCCCAAATCCTTCTTGCTCCTCCCCGCCCTCCATATGTGTATTTGGGAGCCATGCATCCCTTCACCTCACCTAGGACCTTCTCACCGGATCTCACGAGGACCTTCTCCCCCAGCGTCATTGCAGTGAATAGGACTTGGATGGCTTGGATGCTCGGACAGGTAGCAGCGCCAAACATCATGACGCCAACATCACGGCCCTCAATGTGAAGAAAACCTTCCAAGCTTAAAGCCCCAAAGCAAGGTTTGGTCAGATGAACTCATCTAGGGAGCAACCCACCAACCATTTAGGTGAGATTCTATTGCCACAAAGTCGGGATGGATTTACCACTTTGTGACTCCTTTCGATGGGGTCCAGACCCTCGCGTTCTCCGCTGAAGCTGGAAGTGCAAGACGCTCGGACACGCTCAGATTGCTGGTGCTCGGACTGAAGCATGGATGAGCACTGATGAGCAACCGTGGTCCAACATGTCATGGAGAATGTGTGGGGAAAAAAGGCGCTTGCCTGTCTATTGGATGTTTAATTGGGGGTCCTACTGGTCCATTCAATGTCCACCAAAATTCACAAAGAGGCGCAAGTGGAACACAAGTGGTCGCATCAGAAGATTTATGAAGACCAAAACGTAGAATCTTCCTGATTCCGAGGCAGACAAAGCAAGGCTCACAAATGAAATGCTCATGGAAGGGCTAAGTTGTTGATGGATGGGGGGAAGAATTTGGCACACAATTGACAATGCTGCAGTCACTGTAGTCATTTTTATCATTTTTTATCTATAAGCCCCGGGTCTTTGGGTTTTGGCCGTAGTTGCAGTTGTTGACCATTCAAGTTGCTAGTGCCAAAGGCTCGTCACCCCAAACCAAGCACGTTAGCTTGCACCTGGGGCCCCAGGCATGCAGGCCATCATCATGAGCGCAAAGACCACACCATGGGGCGGCGTTTCCTTAAGGGACTCGGACGTGAAGACCCGCGGCGGATTTCGCCACGACTGGACTATATAACTCCTTCAAGGTCCCGCCACTTCAGCCCTCACTTGAAGGTCGCTGGTTCAAGGCCGGGCTGCCCCAAAAGTACCACAGAAATCCGTTTTCATGAGCTTCTGTGAGTGGAGCAAGATGTTCCCAAGCTTACTAGCCCTTGCCTCATCATCACGACGGACAACACCCCCCCCCCGCGGAGAACCTTTGACCAGCCACGGAGTTCTCCAAGCATCTCCGGCCGTTTCCAAAGATGGAGTCCAATTGAAGACGAAGGAGTACATCGAACCTGCGTGGCCCGCGTTGTACAGCTCCAATCGCCGGTTCCGCCGGTTCCCGGATCGGTGGGATCGCCGGTTGGATCGCCTTCAAAGCAGGCCACGATCACGCAAAGGCCAATCAAAGGCGAAGAAGTGAAGAGGGCCATCCAGGCCTCAGTCGGCCCCTGTTGGTGGATTGGGCGCGCGCTTGATGCAGAAGATCATGCGGAATTCTATCCGACGAATGCGGGCCCTGCTACGTGATCAACTATATAGTATAATTCCTGCAAGGAATCTCAAGCTCGACCTCAAGCTCGACTCACAGCAATGAGGAGCACAATTATAGAATCCACATAACTTTACACAAGACAATGACAAAGATACATGAACTACCTTGGTTGCACCTTCTGTTGCACTCGTTCTGAACGTCGTTTTCGCTCCCGACTTCTCTGAACTGTCGTTGGCGCGCCTCTTTCAGGGAGCTCTCGCCTGCGGATGTCCAACCGTCCAACCCAGTCGGTGTCGCTGGTGATGTCGTCGCTTCGCGGCCGATGCGGGGGCGGAGTCGTCGGTGAAACGGGTGAAAAACACCGCACGCGGCGCTTTCGGTCCAGCAGTGGAATGCTAGTGAAAGTAAATGTCAATATGGACCTCCCAGCGCTGCTATGGCTGCTATAGGGCTATAGATGGCATGCATCCAAATCTCAGCGCAAACTCTTCAGCTATGGGGGACCTGAACACTTTGTCCATCACTTGCATCGATGCCAATCAAGCGCTCACTTGGTCCATTGCCAACCGTTTGACGTGTTGGGTTCCGGGGGTTGGCTTGGCGGCTTGGTTCGGGGGTTGGTCGGCATGTATAGCCGTATAGCCAACCAGCTGGTGCAGGGTCTACCTCTCTTCATCCCCTCTTGCCCCTCATCACCTCCAAACATCTGAGGCCAAATCGGCTTCTCCACAAAATCCTGTTCAATTTGTGGATTTTCTGGTCTGTCGTACACTTTACACTTTTCAGATCCGGTTTCCCAGCGGCAACGCGTGCTTCTTCCAGCGCCCAACCACAACCGCACGCCTTCGGACTCAGCAGCCTGGCGGTCTCTAAATAGAAAATAGATATCGGCCATGTGACTGAGAAGTCAGTCTTACAGGGACCTGGATCACATGTGAGGATGTGTGGGCTACGGCCAAGCAGTGGCAGGTTAGAATCCCACCACTGAGAATCCCGCTGCGGTGCAGTGCATTGAGGGGTGGCCACTGCTCGTTCTTACAGCTTTCAGCCAGAGTAGATGGGAAGAAGACTTTAATGGGGTTGCCAGCAAGGCTCAAAGCCAAGAAGAACTATGCATTGACATGGGCGATGCGGCGATGAATATATATATATATATATATAATTACAATAACTATATATATATATATCCGCCATCCTCTTGCTTGTGCACATGAACTTTTCACGCTCAATCGTTTGAACTTGTGGACCGGCTCCCGGGGTCTTTCACGACGCCGGGCCCTGGACGTGTGGCATCCAAGTCTCAAGTAGTAGTCGTGCTGCAATCGAGCTTCGTCAACAAGAGTTGCTCTCATCTTAAAGCAGTTTGTAGCCGCATTCTTGTGTACAATTGACTCGGCAAGAGATGTTATTGGACAACATCAGGCATATCATGTCTGTCTCTTCTCTTTTTTTGGTAGACCCTGGTGATCCCTGGTGTACTGCCCATCCCTGGCCATATTCCGCACCTTCCACCTTCCTATCACCCACGGCCTCTTCAAGTGGTGTTCCATAGTTTTCGTCCCAGACCTCAGAAAGCAGGGAAAGATTCGGTGCCAAGACCTACCAAGCACACAAAGATCGGAGACTCTGTAGACCTGCAACTCGGCTGAATTTTCAGCTGCATCGCAACTCTGAGGCTGCAGGGGCTGCCCTATCATTGCTAACCTAGTAGCTTCTTGTTCCTTGTGGTAAGGCCAGGAGCGCTCGCTCCGTTCGTAGCGATGCACTTTGTTGCTAGTAGCTTCTGGTTCCATGTCAATTCAATTAGGCCAAAGTCTGCCATCCAACCAGCCCTCTGAGTTGTTGACTGTAGAGATTACAACCATGGCGATCACCAAGACTGCTGCCTTACACAGCAGATGAAGCACTTCTCTGGATTTCTTTGGTTATTTTTTGGGCGAAGCTGGCTCAAACCACAGCCACAACGAGGAAACAAACATGAAACATCCTCTCCACTCCTGGCCCTTTGTCTGCTCAGGACTCCACAGACATGTCGAAGGCCACTACATTTCCACCATAATACCTTAGGAAGTCAGGCTGACTGAAACCGTGCCGCGGCGGGCTGACTGAAATTGTGGCATCAACGGCACACACATCGTCAAATGGTCGCTGAGCTAGAAGTGCTGGAACCCAAACACTCCATGTATGCCATATATGCCTACATTGGGGTGGTTTGGGGGTCAATGTAGGCATATATGGCATACACGGAGTGTCTGGGGAAGATTGTTGAATGGAGTCAACAACCAGAGCACGTATGAGTATCGATGCTGTATCATATCCCCGCTTTTTCGAAGGCCAGGCCACCCTTCTACCACTAGCCGCCCATCATTTTGCTTTGGGAAATGCCATCATTTGCACCAAGGGGTGGTGCACACCACCATAGTCTTGAAACAGCTGCCTCATCAAAGAAGGCGAAGCTCGCCAGATCTCGTCTAACATCCCATGTCCACCCACATCCCTACCAGGTTCTCGCACAGGATGCTTCCATCCACCGGTGAAAAGGGGATTGAGTCCACGCCAACCTCGCAGGCCACAAGAATTACATACTTGGAACCTTGGCACGACCGTCCTACCCAAGCTAGCTCGTTGCACATCCTTTCCAAGTGGAAAAAGGGCATGTCTTGCCGAGGTTTCATCCATCCACGCCTGAGCCACCAGTCCTGAAACGATGGCCACCTCAGATTGCATCATTGGATGAGGTCGGGTCGGATGCGTGGTGCTGTTACACCAAAAGATGATGGACAATTGAACAAAGCAACATACTGTACTCCGTATAAGCCCTCAATGAAGGCCCATAGTATTGCAGGGATTCACTCAATGCCAATGTTTTGGTCTGCCACATCCTCGTCAGAGCTGCCTCAGCGCCCTGTCGGTCCCAAACAATGACCATGTGACCGTGTAGCCTAGCCTTGTCTCACTTCCATGTCACCCCTCTCTCAACGCCAAGGCCAAGGGGCCAAGTACATGATGGTGAACTTCATCCCAAACCTCAAACGCTGGAGCTTCAGCGCATTCGCATTCCCCGTGGATCAACAACATGAACGAGAAACATCGTGGCTTTGCCCACCACAATTCTGGAGCTCCACGTTCCTCTTCATCAACTCCCACCCGCGTTCGGAGCTCAGTAACGGTCAGTGGCTGTGCAACTACCATCGCGAGACACACACAGAGGTCACTCAATCAATTGGTCGCAATTCAAAGATCACCCATCACCCATCACGCGTGGCCACTCTATCTCTGGCCCCGGCATGTAGGAGAGTAAGCCGGAGGAGAACTGGTGCTTGCAAGTGTGTTCCGAAACCATCCAGCCTCAGCGAGGGCGGGGCTAGAACCACCAACCAACGAACTGAGGGAAACCACCTGGAAACCACCTGACCCGTGTCACTTCTTTCACCACTGAGCTTCAGAACACTCAAAGCAGGAGAAGAGTAAGGAGGTCGCAAAGCCTGCCAGCGTAAAGTGGAGAACATATTCACATGTTCACTGTTCAGAACCCCGAGGTGTTCAAGGGGATATTACGGCCAGGGCCCTCAAATTCACATGATTCATGTGTCCATCTTGTAGGAGGAACTTCGATAGACGAACGAGACATAAGCAAATGCCTGGCAGATCCTGGCACATTGTGGTGCACAAAGCAATCACACCTGGATGATGGGGAGATGCATCAAATGCATCTTCC